TCATGCGTTCCATCTGGGTACATGGAAGCTACATGAAGGCGCTTGACCGCAACGTGTTGCTCGGTGCCCTGGAGCTCCAGGACGAGCTTCTCGGCCCCACTACCGACTTCAACCCCCGACGGCCCGCGAACAGCACAATTGTGACGGACCTATCGGCCGATCTAAACCGCAACGAGCGGGATTCTTTCCACATCGTGAACGGGTTGACAGACCGATCATGGTTCTTCCACTCGCCGCTCCAGTATTGGTCCGGTAGCGCCAGCAACATCGCCGACGATCCCGATATCATATCCACCGTCAACGCCAAGAAGACGCAGTCCACATCGGTCAACGTCACACTGCGTCACTCGATTGTGTTCAGCGGCAAGCGCTTCGAGGAACGCCGGCTCGTAGCCGCCGACGCTCTTGTCATTACCCTGATTCACCGCCGCGATTCGCCCGTGGGTGAACAATGGGTCCGGAAAGCGGAAGCCCTCGCCTCCAGGCCGCAGGACAAGTGGACAATTATTCCGGAAGATGGCAGAAGCATGTCCAGCCAGCTCTACGAGTTTCAGTTCCGGCCGATGTCGTGGTCCGATCTGACCCTGCTCAGCATCGCCTACTCTCTTGTCATCGTCTACCTCATGCTCAGCCTCTCGAGGGTTCACGCTGTCAAGTCCAGGCTTGGCCTTGTGTTGACCATAATATGCCAAATTGCCGCCTCCATCATGTCCAGCTTTACCGTCTGCGCCATCTTCAAAGTTGACCTGTCCCGCATTCCATCATACGCCTACCCTCTGGTCATCCTCGCCGTCAGCGTCGAGAACTGCCTCAGACTCATCAACGCCGTCATCATGACATCGTCGAGTATCAGCATCAGCGCTAGGATCGGAGAGGCTTTTGGGGCAACCGCCCACGTCGCGGTGGCTAACCGGCTGCAAAATTTACTTATCCTTCTGGGGCTCTCGAGTATCACGCTCCCCGGTGTCGCAGCCTTTTGCAGGTTTGCGGCAGTCGCCGTCGTCTTCGACTTTTTTTACATGGCCACTTTTTTCCTCTCCGTCCTTAGCGTGGACGTCCGCCAGAGAGAACTCAGCGACCTCGAAAAAGCCTCGGTTAGACGCAAGAAAACAGAACCCCCTTCAAATCCTGGATCAACCTGGGCGGATAACCTGCGTCGGGTGCGCTTCGACGAGGTTGGTCTGTCCACTCGAGTTGCCGGCAGTATTGTCATCCTCGGTTTTGTCCTCATTGCCCAGTCTCATTATTCACCCGAGAGCGGTCGCCAGTGGCTGAACCAGGTCTTGGGGTCGTCTTGGAGTGCCACGCCCATTACTTCACCAAAGTCGTCGCTGCTGATGGATATTCACCAAGCAAGAAGCCCGACATCATGGCTTCGTCTCCAGGACCACGAAACGGCGCGCGAGGTCATCAATGTCATCAAGCCATGGGCCCATAGCTATGTGGCTCTTGTTCACGACCCCATTATATTTCTCCTGAAAGGGTCTAATCGGATTCCTCCCGGTAGGGAGCCCTACTTTCTACCTGCTGTTTACGACTTTGTTCATCATGAGATCCCTCGCTTCATGGTAGTTTTGATAATGTTTGCCACCATGATGAACATGTTCACGAGGCGCTTGCTTCGAGCCGGGTATAAGCAGCCTGGGGACCCTGAGCATCCCGAGGACGAACCATTGTTATCGGTCCAGGCACTCAGCAGGGACCACTCACTCGACGTGGAGATGATGAAGGCATCTCCGGGAGGCTTATTGGTGTCGATAGGTCTCGATCGGGTCATTCAAATTTGGGATGTACCGTCCGGGACGAGGAGCCGGGTCTTGGTAGACGTCGAAATCCCTCACGAGAACCCGTTCCCGGTTCTCGGAGTGGCTATACACGACGCCTCTAGACAGCTCGCTCTCGTTTCGCGGGACAAGGTTCTTGTCTGGGAGATAGAGAAGCAGCAATGGGGATCGGCGATGAAGATCGAGCTGGGTGATCACAAACCAGAGGCCGTCTTCTTTGGTAGCAAAAAGAACGACCCGGCACCACCCCTGGTGGTGGTGAGGAAAAATGGTACCATGGTAGAGCTACAGCCAGAGCTTGGGGATTTGAGGGAGTATGTTGTCTGCAAGACGGCTCTCACCCTGGCGGTGCCGTTTGTAGAAACATGTAGGTCGACCATTCGCCACCCGTCGGCCTCCATTCTGACTCTCGCAGATTGTCATCCGTCCTCAACCCAACAGACGTCGAGGATGTCGATACTCACGGCTTCTCGGAAGAGTTGTGTCCATCTTGTGCGACGGGACGAAACGGGCTGGACTTCCCGAGAAGTGAAATTCGTCGGCCGCGAAATGGAGTCAAAAGGTGTCCACGCCTTGATACCCATACCGGCCTTTTCGATGTATCTGGTTGCGCGGTCACACTCGGTGGATCTCGTGGATCTGGACTCGTCGTCCGTCATCCACACGTTTGAGACGGAGCCAATGCAGCCACGGACTCTGAAGCATATTGTGGCAGCCCGGGCGCAGCCGAACGAGCTGGCAGCACTGACACTATCTTATATCAACTCGGAGACGAGGGAACTGGTCATTCACACCTATCTTCCGGAGGAAGAGGGCGACTCGATTTACACGTACAACATAGCCGGGACGAGACGAGGGCGGCCATCGGTGTGGGCTGCATCGCGAGAAATTAGGCGATATGTAAGCAACCCCGGGACGTGGGAGGCTCTGTCAAATGGGAGCATCGTCGGCGTCCGTCGTCAGAAACGGGAACCAGCCACCACGGCCTCGCCAACATCACGACTACGCCACCTCGGCATCCAGCAGACGGACGTGGCCTCAAGTCTGAACGAGGCCGACGAGTGGGAGGCGTGGGTGATGAACCACCCCGAAGCCAAGGGTGACTTTGAGACGCGATCGCTGGATTGTTCGCCGCTCGATCCCGCGCTCGAGCTCAAGCACGGCGGCCTCGGCCAGCTCATGATTTCCAAACTGGGGCCGATGGTTAAGCTGGGTGCTATGAGCGTGGCGGTCGGGTTCGGGAACGTGATCAAGCTGATTAGTGTGGGACATGAGCATTTTGATGGGCACGGGAGGCTGGATGCGGCGGTGGATATGAGGAATATGATGGTGCGGAGGAGACGGACGATGGGATCGGCGAGGATGAGGAGTCAGTGACTTGTGAACTCTTTCGGTTCGAACTTTTGATATAGATACCCTATTCTCCTCTGGACGGCGGGGTGGTTGGATCAGGGGCCGGGGATTGGGACCGGGTACCGGCGTCATGGTTGGTTGGTAATGTATATGCTAGGCACGGCTTGTTATTAGATGAGCATACGTGGTAGAGCAGAATTTGGTTTTGTGTGTTAAAACGTTAAGTGTTGATGATATGAGTTTACCTTGTATTCCATCTTACGGGTCGGCTGGATACACTGTGAAAAATGACAAGCAGTTGATGTTTGCCCATAAGGGACAAGTACCTGGAAGGGGGCGGCCAGTCCACAATGCTGACTCATCATTCTCGACTAGTGAAACTTCCGAAAAGGGTCTTGTCTTGAACTCACAAACCACTCATCACTCGTTTCGTCACGCACATACACACACTCACATACACACACACACAGTCTCTCCCTCTCTCTAATATCTCCCACATTTTCGTCCCGCAGACATCACCAGGGTGACAACAAAAAAAAAGAAAAATGGACACCCCAACAACAACAACAACAACCCTCCCCGCCCTCCCCGAAAACTACACCACAGCGCTATCCCTCATCGACGCAGCCCACGCCCAAGACCCGCGTCCCTCGTCGTCCGACGACAAAGTCCCATTCGAACTCGACTACGCCCGTAAAATGTCGAGGTGGCTAGCCGTTCGGTGTCCTGACGCCTCGCCCGCGCTGCAACTCGCCTGTCGCGCGCAGCATTTCCGCCGGTTTGTCCCCCCCCCCCCCCTTCCCTTTTTTTTTGGTCTTTCCTCTCTGCCGGCTGGAGGTGGCCATGTTGACAGGTGGGGTTTTAGTTGGGAGATACCCAGATCGACGTACCCGCCCACTAGGGGGGGATATCTCACCTGGCGGGCGAGACTGAAAGCCCGAGCTGCTGAGGAGGTTGGTTCGCTTCTAGAGGGAATAAATCCGCCGCTGGGGAGGGATGTGATTGACAAAGTGGCGAGGTTGATTCGGAAGGAGGGGTTGGGGAAGGGGGGCGAGGAAGATGAAGGGAGAGAAGTGCAGGTTCTCGAGGATGTCGCGTGTCTTGTGTTTTTGGATGATCAGTTTGAGGATTTTGAGAGGAGGGAGGATGTGGATGAGGATAAGATTGTGGGGATTTTGAGGAAGACGTGGGGGAAGATGAGCGTCCAGGGGAGGGCTTTGGCTTTGAGGCTCGAGTTGAGTGAAAGGGCTGGGGCGCTTGTGAAGAGGGCTTTGGAGGAGGGGGATGCGGCTTGATGGCTGGTACTGTGGTGATGCAGGGAAAGGGGGATGTGTAGATATATATATATACCCCTCTGAGTCCGAGGGCTTCAAGTACCTACCTCGTGCAAGCAAGTGCTGGTTTGCGCACACGGTCCTGCTCGGGTTAGTAGTCGAGGATCACAGGGTCGAGACGGGTTTTCCGGGGGGGTGGAGAGGCTACGCGCATTGAGGGAGGGAGGGAGAGTTGCTAACCTATTGTGTTGGTGCTGTCTGGTTCAACATTCTGAACATTCGTCGAGGACTTCGCATACTCAACATCGAGGGAACCTAGTCTCCTGCGCGTATCACCTGCAAAATAAAAGAAAGGTTGCAGTCACATTGTATCCAGCAAATTCCGAGGCCGGAAAAAGTACTCATGACCAACTTGTCGTTTGACAAGGTTTTCTAGGCACCACAAGAATGTAACTACTGCGGTCAAGAAAAAACAAACACTCTTTGCACCATTCAGAATAGCGCCACCGACAACAGAAGCATTACCATGACACCCAGAGAGAGTAAAAAAAAACCGGAATTGCAAAATTAACCAAAAAAAAACATGTTACTCTCCGGCCGGGAATTGAACCCGGGTCTCGAGCGAAGTCAGGGGACTTTTTACTAGAAAGCCCAGCTTGACAAGCTCACATACTGACCACTATACTACCAGAGAAATATTTGATATTCGTGTCCGCGCCAAAGTAGCCATATCTATCAAATCTCACACAATCCTTCCTTACACAAATTTGTTAGTGATCCCAATACATAATCTTCTTCTTCTTCCGCATGCCAGGAAGGATATACTGCTACAGGGAAACGCAGCGGGCCTATTGATTATTACACAGGCCTCGAGATGAACGATTGGACGCGCGCGATCTCGCGTCCATTCAGTTACTCAGCGGCACCAACGGCACTAATGGCACCCAAGGGTTACTGGACGACTGGGTTTGGACCTCACAAACTATCTAGGTACCTCCCGATATCTGTTAAATTCCCAGGGGAAGTTCTTGTAAACGAAAAGAAGAGAGGTACCATTCCGTGTCCTCCCGTACTGAGTGGTCGGTCGGTCGGTCGACTTGTTTTCGCTGCCGGGAAATGACCAAGTCTTTTTTCCTCATCGGTGAATACTTGTCAACAAATATCCGAGAAGAGGGGGGGGGGGGGGGGGGGGGTTGGTATATATCGACGTCGGACCGGTGGCAAGGCGCCTTTATCGTGTCAATTACAGCAAAGAAGAAGGGCATCGATAATAAAAGTGAGACTAAAACCGCCGGTGGCAATTTTTTCCTTCATCTGCCACCCCGGGTTTGTTCTACATCTCGACAGCAACGGGGCGCGGCTTGAGTTGTTTTGCTTGCTCGGGACGCGGGGGGATCTGCCTTTGTCCCCAGGGAAGCCTGGTGGGTTCTCCTTTTTTCTTTTCCAGGGAATTACGCGGATACGCTCCTTGATTTGGGTATAACCCTAGCTGTATGTCGCTTGGTCCATCCCTTGTCTTCACGTCCAGAGCTTTCTTGGTGAACCCACATGCCGCGAGACCGTAGGGAGTTGTCAACGTGAGAGTTGAGCTCTTCAATTCTGGCCGTCAGGGCCGGAGGTTTAGAGGTAGGCTGCTCAACTTGTTCCCGGGCCAGCCGCCGGCAAGGCCAGAGGGACGGAAAATGAGAGAGCTCGGGGCGTACGAGGCTCCTTTGTTTGTCGCGGATGGTTAAGACGGGGTGGTTGATATCCTCGGCTGAACCCTCTTCGTCTTCCAAGGCGGGTTATTCGGCCATGGTGACGACCTGAAGCCTGGAGATGATGCGGGTCTGTGTTGTGCTCCAGCGAAACCTTGGAAACAGGCCTCGGCCTAAGTTTAGGCAGGGAGATGAGCGACTGCATCTCTAAGGTAAGCACAGCATTGGTCAGCGCTACTTCACCGAGAGACAAAGTGTTGTTGAGATTGGGAGTTCATCAGGCCGTTCTGAAAAGAGGCTTTTGCTCTGAGGAATAGGTGCTTCCGAGTCGATTTCTTCCAACTTGGTGGCGTCAAAGAACTCCTCATTAGCAGAGTCCTTAATGGGGGTGTGTGGGTGAAACTGATCCATAGATCTATCTGGTCTATGGTCGTGTGTGAAGGTGAAGGTGGAAAACGCTGGAAGGTCCAGGATGGAAGATATGGTGGTGTGGGGCCTAAGGCACCAACACAAAGTTGTATCTGCGATGCTGTGCAGCACACCCGTTTGAACAGTACTGTACCCTCACGTAGATGAAGAAGGAAAGTGGAAAAGATTCGGTGTCCACCGAAATTCGTAAAACGAGCAATATATACAAACAAATGCGTTGGGTCCAGACTATCCGCATTAAACAGAGAACGAAGGGTTGGTGGAATGGTACATGTGAGCAGCCAGGAGCAGAGGTAGCGCGCGCGCTGATCTTTGGGCTGCATCCAGGCTATGCCCGCCGCTGTAGAGCTCATCGAGGAGCTGCCGGCGAGAGTTCCGCAGATCCCGCCGCACTCGTTTGGCCCTCCATATCCTCTGAAAGAGAAGCACCGCCTTCGGGTGATCTGGTTCGCGCTGACGCTGCTGTCGCTCGGCCTGGGTATTAGCCACAGTCTTAGAAGCTCCGGATGTGAGTCCGCATCATCGAAGCGCTTCATGTTGTCAAAGACTTGGCGATCCGAAGCATCCCACGGGTCATGGGATGTGTGTGGTGAGATTGCTGTTATTGACTTCCACTTGGAAGAAAGGCAGGTCTGGCACGAACGGGGGCGTCACATTTGGTACGGTAGCACCATGAGCGACAAGATGGCGCCCTTGGCCGGGCCGTCAATAATTGAGTAGGTATATAGCTTGTTGTCATTGAGTTTATCGACTTTGCAAGGCCGCGGCCAGGTGGGAAATATATAGGGAGAATCGGGTACCAACAGTGTATCGGTGATGAGATGAGACATCTTAATTTGTTACCGGTTGTGTGGTTGACTACCCAAACCAGAGCTAGTCACCAGGAGTATATTACCACTTTGGCAAGACAAATTCAGAGCTTTCGTTCCTCTGGCGTGCCATGTTCATGGAAACTCTCCTTGGAAACTGGTCATGCTTGTTCTCTTCCTCCCAGATAGACACCTCACTAAGGTATTCGAGTCATTAACCCGCCAATCCAGAACCAAACATGTCCTGCCATTTGACTCAGAAAGGACTTCAATCTATTTGCTCTTCGCTCTCTCAGACACACACAGCACATCAGTAGCAAATTTGAAAATGCCACCATAGGCTCCCAGTAGGTAGGCGTGTAAATAATTCCTCAGAGGGGCCTCAAGACCAAAGTCAACACACTTTCTTCATGATCAGTCACCTGTGTCCTCACAATCAGCGCCATGCCTCTGCCATGTCAGACACGTGTCTCGTTACCGCCAGAACACGGGAAGACACCAAACTCAATTAAACCCCTTTGGCCGAAAAACACAAACTAACATACACACCTACATGAAGAAGCAGCATCAAAATAAAATAAAACAAACACAGAAAAAAGAAAAAACACCAGAACTACAAAAACATGGTATCTTTATCTATCCCACCACCCAATATCATCGCAGCGGATATCTTTGAGAGGGTTTTCCTGCCTCAACCCAGCCCATTCTATTTTCTCTTTCCCAGCCCTCTCATTCCCTTCCTTTTTAACGTCCCACCCACCCCTCTCTCTCTCTCTCTCTAAAAAAACAAAAAGAAAACACAGGCCCGAACCAGGCAGGCAGGCAGGTTATAACAAATACTCTGAAGCCCCTTTCCTTCCTTCCCCCGTTTAAACCTCTCAACCCCCCATAATGGAGGTATGTATGTGTATGTGTGCAACATATTCCACAGTACGCTCCATCTTCCATCTAAATGCTCCCATCCTTTTCCGATTTCTCCTCGACGACCGACTCGAGAGAAGGCGGAGACATGATGGCGGTGGCCAGCGGTGATCCGCGGCGAACGTTCTGTCCCTGTCCCTGTCCCTGACCCTGTCCTCGTCCTTGTTCATGTATGCCCCCATAGCCATAGCCGCCGTGACCCGGCGGCGGTCCGATCGGTCCGAACGTCGAGGAAGAAGTGCGGCCTATATTCCCAACCAAAACGTTAGCATCATCATGTCTCAACAGAAAAAAAAAGGAGGGGTCAAAAGGTACCAGCAGGTCCGATAGGCCGACTCCCAGCCCGCCAGTTGAGCGAACTACTCCCACCACTTCCACCACCTCCACCTCCCCATCCTCCCAGGGCTCCTCCTCCTCCTCCACCTACTCCCCCCAAACCTTCTCCCGATCCCGATCCCGACCCCATCATCAAGGTCCCACCGCTGCTCCCAATCAATCCCCGTCCCCTCATCTGCTGTCCCTGTCCCTGTCCCTGGCCCATACCTAGTGTTGTCGTCTGCTGCCCCGGACTCAGCGGCAACGCCCTTACCTCACCACCACTACCACCACCACCACCAGCACCTCTCCCCGCCGCCACCGCCGCCGTCGTCGTCCCACTACCACCCGCAGCAGCAGCCCTTAAAGTCTGCCTAGCCAACTCAGCCTGCCTCCGCTTCCACCAAGCCGGCAACCCATGAAACAGACCCAGATTATGCTGCGTAGCAGTATCGAGCGGCATCTCATGACGATATTTGCATCCCTGCTGTGCGAAGGCGCAGGTCCCCTCGTGCACCCACTTGTCACAGTACACCTTTGCGCGCTTCGGAGGGCGTGTCGTTATTGTACTTCTTGTCATCGTCGATAACCCTCCACCTTCTCCATCTTCGGCATTGTTGGTCGTGGTGGTGGATACGTTCGGGGATGTAGGTGATGAGGTGGAATGGACAGACGACGGTGGGGGAGCCTTTGCAACAATCTCGTCGATGCGCGCCTTTTGTTGGTCAACACCACCACCACCAGGTGGGTAGAAGTAGTTAGATATCCACTGTTTTTGTCGGAAAGGGAGAAAAGGAAGAAGAACGGTTAGAAAAGAACAAAGGAAATCCTTTTCCATTCTGAAAACTGTTCCAGAATGGAAGGGGGAAGGAAGGGGGAGGGGAAAAGACATACCTGTGCATCCTCCTTGCTGAGTGTATTCCTACCCGTTCCCGGCTCAGACTGTTTGTTGTTAACTACTATCAGCCCTCTCCCTACCAACCCCCCAACAACAACAACCACCCCCCTCCAGAAAAGAAACACTTACCGCAAACTGAACAGCCTGATCATAAACCCAAACCCCATCCCCCCTAGCCACAGGCGGCACCTCACAAACCCAGCACCCCTCCGCATCCCCCTGCGACGCCGGAATCCCCACCAGCGGCGGCAACATATCCGCCGGGATCAGCCTCGTATAGGTCCCATTCCCCCTTCTCAGCAAGTACGTATGAAACGGCGGGACTCCGCGCCCGCCGTGCTCGGGGAGCACGTTCTCGCTCCGGAGGATCGCGGCGTCGCGGTCGACGAGCCCCAGATTTATGGCGGCGTTGCGCTCGGCGGTCTGGAAGGCGTGTGCTAGTGTTGCGCGGTTGGAGGGGTGGGATTGGGTTTCTGGGGAGAGAGAGTGGAACCAGGTTTCTGTGCGGGCGAATTCTGCGGCGGATGAGGAGGTGAGGTGGGCGTTGAAGCGGGTTTGGATTTGTTGTGCTGTTGGGCCGCGGAAGTAGGGGGCACCTGAAGGAGGAGGTGGTGGTGGGGAGAGG